GCACAAGATATGAGTGACTCCTTGAGTGTGAAAGTTCATGAGGCGGGAGAACTGGCAAGAGACCAAGTTTCTTACAGGCAGACTGTGATGAGAGCGACGTTCTGCAAAGGACCTGCTACATGATGATGAGGTCGGCATTGTATTTGCAACAGTGCTCAATTTACCTTATGTGAAGCTGTTTATCTCAGACATGCGCGATTTTGCACAACAGCCACAGACGGTATCGCTGGAACTGAAAAACGCCCACATTTTCACACGAAAATTCTATAATGGTTTCAGGAAGTAGAGCATCACACCGACGGAAAACTCGACAGAAAATAGCTCCAGATGTGCCAAAGCTAATCAAGTAATAGGGCAACTATAGACTAATTAGGGGCGTTTCTTTCAAAGTCGGGGTGCATCTGCACAAAAGGCGAGGAACCGAAGTCTACTGAGAAATAAGCCAGATCTTTAAAACGGGTGTGCATGCACAACTCAAGCTCTGGAACAAGACTAAAGTCTATAAGTGGATAAACAACGAAAACGTTCCATCCGAGTTTCCAGCCGGTGAACTCGAAGAAGAAGAGAGATGGCAAGAAACAAAATACACAGAATTGTATCGATAATATCAAGTGAAAGTAAAAGATACTCCAGCTGTGCAGTTCGAATGCATGAACCGCTACTGTCGATTTACATGAAGTAAGATTTACTCACCTACGATTTACATGAAGTTAAAAATTACTTAACAGCCAGGGGCTGTGGGGGTTAGTTCTGCAACGTCCTGTAAAGGATACGCAACTAACCTAAAAATTACTTACCCGCTATTTACGTGAGGTTATGATGACGCACTTAAGATTTTTCTCACCTTCGATTTACGTGAAGTTATGATTACTCGCCCACGATTTACATGAAGTTAAGAATTACTCACCTACACACACATTTAAAACTCTTGCTGTGTCAATGTTCTGTACAGTATTTAACTCCGGCAGAGTTGGAAACATGGACACGGAGATGTTATATCTGCCAGGGCCCATAACTTTAAACTTAGCCTGACATGTTGCTCTGTAGTATGTATTACCAGACGCCAACATCACATTGTCTGGTGTAGTGACCTGTACAGCTGTCTAAAGAAAAGAGAAACAGTAATTAATGTATGGGGCTGTGACATGTACAACGGTCTATAGGAAAAAAGAAACAGTAATTATTATCTGGTGTAAACTGTACAACGGTCTATAGGAAAGAGAAACAGTAATTATTGCCTGGTGTAAACTGTACAACGGTCTATAGGAAAGAGAAACAGTAATTATTGCCTGGTGTAAACTGTACAACGGTCTATAGGAAAGAGAAACAATAATTATTATCTGGTGTAAACTGTACAACGGTCTATAGGAAAAAAGAAACAGTAATTATTATCTGGTGTAAACTGTACAACGGTCTATAGGAAAAAAGAAACAGTAATTATTATCTGGTGTAAACTGTACAACGGTCTATAGGAAAGAGAAACAGTAATTATTGCCTGGTGTAAACTGTACAACGGTCTATAGGAAAGAGAAACAGTAATTATTGCCTGGTGTAAACTGTACAACGGTCTATAGGAAAGAGAAACAGTAATTATTGTCTGGTGTAAACTGTACAACGGTCTATAGGGAAAAAAAACAGTAATTATTATCTGGTGTAAACTGTACAACGATCTATGGGAAAAAAGAAACAGTAATTATTATCTGGTGTAAAGTATACAACGGTCTATAGGAAAGAGAAACAGTAATTATTATCTAGTGTAAACTGTACAACGGTCTATAGGAAAGAGAAACAGTAATTATTATCTGGTGTAAACTGTACAACGGTCTATAGGAAAGAGAAACAGTAATTATTGCCTGGTGTAAACTGTACAACGGTCTATAGGAAAGAGAAACAGTAATTATTGCCTGGTGTAAACTGTACAACGGTCTATAGGAAAGAGAAACAGTAATTATTATCTGGTGTAAACTGTACAACGGTCTATAGGAAAGAGAAACAGTAATTATTGCCTGGTGTAAACTGTACAACGGTGTATAGGAAAGAGAAACAGTAATTATTATCTGGTGTAAACTGTACAACGGTCTATAGGAAAGAGAAACATTAATTATTACCTGGTGTAAACTGTACAGCGGTCTATAGGAAAGAGAAACATTAATTATTGCTTGGTGTAAACTGTACAACGGTCTATAGGAAAGAGAAACATTAATTATTATCTAGTGTAAACTGTACAACGGTCTATAGGAAAGAGAAACAGTAATTATTATCTGGTGTATACTGTACAACGGTCTATAGGAAAGAGAAACAGTAAATATTATCTGGTGTAAACTGTACAACGGTCTATAGGAAAGAGAAACAGTAATTATTATCTGGTGTAAACTGGACAACGGTCTATAGGAAAGAGAAACAGTAATTATTGTCTGGTGTAAACTGTACAACTGTCTATAGGAAAGAGAAACAGTAATTATTATGTGGTGTAAACTGTACAACGGTCTATAGGAAAGAGAAACATTAATTATTATCTAGTGTAAACTGTACAACGGTCTATAGGAAAGAGAAACAGTAATTATTATCTGGCGTAAACTGTACAACGGTCTATAGGAAAGAGAAACAGTAAATATTATCTGGTGTAAACTGTACAACGGTCTATAGGAAAGAGAAACAGTAATTATTATCTGGCGTAAACTGTACAACGGTCTATAGGAAAGAGAAACAGTAAATATTATCTGGTGTAAACTGTACAACGGTCTATAGGAAAAAAGAAACAGTAACTAATGTCTAGTGTGCTGTCACTATAAAAACATTGTGTGAAATAAAAGGGGCCCGCTTATAATTTTTAACGGCGGGGCGTGTTCAGAGGGGGAGGAATTAAGCCTGGTTTAATTCGCAATAATAACAATTTTAGTGCGTTGAAAAAATAAATACAATAAAACATTAGAAATAGTAGGAATTGTATTGACAATCCCATCATCATCATCGTCACAAACAACCTTTGCCATATAGCGCCGCGGGGATGAATAATGTACGCTTTAGTGCATGCTGGCTGTCATGCCGCTACTGTGTAGAATGTCTTTATTGGTCAATCCATTATTTTCGTGGTTGTGCTCTTGGTCTTGTAGCTGGTCTTCTGAGATGTAGTGCTTGTAATGGTAATTGATCTTGCTGCAGTCTAATAAGATGGCGAAGTATATTAACAACTGTTTTTTTTTTTATGCGTGTACTTGATATGGGTTGGGGGAGGCGGAGGGGACGGCTCAAAGTACGAGAGCGCCCAGGTTGCGGTGCTATTAATTAATTTTTGTGTTCTTTGTCTGTTGACCAGCTAAGTGACTGACAACACTACATGACATGATTTAAGGAGTGCGGGGAACGAGAGGAAACTATTCTCAGTCAAGGAAGGGATTCTCGGGCCCTAAGACATGAAGGAGGGGGAGGGAGGGGGAGCGGCAGAAGAAAGGTGACGATCAAGATGATGATGATGGTAAAAACGAAAAAAAAAAAGAATATGAAGAAGAACTTGCAATGTAGTCACAATCATATATTTCTGACAATGTTACTATTTTAAAAAACACACACATACACACATACATACCAGACAGAAATAAAAGCAGACAGATAGACAGGCCGACAGACAGGAGAGGCAGACATGTGTACTGCTTCTAGCCAATTTATTTACTTGATTGCATGACAGTCTATCTGACTATATGACTGTCTCTTTGTCTGTATGATTGATAGATACAGATACATCAGCTATCCTCCTAATAACGGTCGAAAATTATCGAGGCCGAAAAAATACCCTAACAGGGCCTCGGTCACATGTCAATTGCGTACTTACGGCGACTTAAGTTGCGCACTTCCGGCGACTTCCGCAACCGTCGAGAGTATTTCGGATTGAGGCTAAGCTAGATTGCTGAGACTCACGAGCAGCAGCTACCGCATCTCCTTCAGCTTCCTTTATTTTATTTGCTCGTGAGTAGCGGCGTGGGGGATACTCTCGGCGGTGGCGCTATAGTCCCCGAAAGTCCGCAACTGACATGTGACTGAGTCCCTGTTGGGGTATATTTTCGGTCTCGATAATTTGTGACCCTTATTCGGAGGATAGCGCATACATTAAATACACCCCACCCCCCATACACTCACGCACTCACACATGCACACATACACACACATTATTTATATATATATATATATATATATATATATATATATATATATATACATACATATATGCGCATACGCACGCAGGCACACGTAGTGACGCAAAGAAGTCGGAACCAAGTAATTACCATGCGGGATTTATACATCACTTTCCATGAGCACTCCAACTGAGGGTAAACTTTTGCCACTGTACATGAGGCTTCAACTGTATCCTGGAAAAACTTGTGGCTACACACAACTTCTGTGGGCTTTGCTGGAAACAATGTAAAGTATCAACAGTGTGAAGGCGGTGACTGGTATGTGTTGTCGCTATCAAATAAATAGCTGACAAATAAAAAACACCTAAAATACGTTCAAGGGACTTAACTGTCAACGCAGTTTCCCAAAATATCCTTGAGTCACTGTCCTTGGCAGTCTCGAGCTATTTAATCTTGTCAAGTAACCGTCATCCCCTGTTATTCTCTATCGTCCTTTTCAGGATAAAAATTTTTATTTGAAGTTCCACCCTGGCTTTTGCCGGGGGCCGCAATATTGTAGTGGCACAAATACAGATATCTGACTACAACCAAAATCCTTACATAACTTATGATCCCAATTATAATCGTTTTTGAGGTCAATCAGGGTAGTCTTTATATCAACAAAACAAAACCCAAAAAATGCTTTTCATTCCACTTGCCTGACAAAAACGTGGCTGCTATCGGGAATACGTCAGTTAAGTGATTCTGTGTATTCGGTCCGTACATGTAGAGTTTGTGAATTATGTAATTTGATAAAGGCCTTTAACGTTTACATACCGTTTATGTATATGGCCACAACTGGCCACACACTGGTCACATGTGTCAACTCACCGTAAACTTTCAAACTGCAAGGACTACTTGTTACCCAGGCGCCGCTGTTGCTGTATTTTACAGAACAAGTCCATTCACCCTCATCGCTCCTTCTCACATTTATGACTCTGAGGGTCCATGAAGAGGTGCTGCCTGTCGTTTGGGATCTACTGACAACAATACGACCCCGATTGTCTTGGCTGGGTGTACAACTGTCGGCATCACACCAGGCTAGAAGTGTTGTGGTTTTCTGGAAACGAATATCTGTGACTGTATACGATCCACGAGAATCTACAGTACAAGTAATATCTGGGCTCCTTTGACCTTCTTCAGCTGATGGACACAGCATCTTTGGAACCGGAAAATCTGTGTGGAGAAATGAATTACAGAGACGTCATATGGAGCGAAATTCTAAAAACAAAAAACAAACTATAAATGAATAAATAACTCGGTCGAGAATTAACATCAGTAGACATAAGAAACTTCCACATGTCCCAAGTACCCTTCTTCAGCAGCCAGCGAAGAGTTTATATCCAGATAATGTGATCAGGAATGTGACTGAAAGTCTACACATATTTTCTCTACTGTATGCCAAATTGGTCAGCGTCAGTGGCTTAGGTATTGCGGACGCGCTTCGTAATGTCTGGGTGCAGGGTTCGATCCCAGCTGCAAGCAATTTGTCTTTCGTTGGCTCCGACAGTAGTACCGAGAGCTGACCGTTCAGTATGCAATGGCAAATTACTGAACGTAAAATTTGCCTAGAAAAACTACAACAGCCAAAACAATACTGGGTTGGTTCTGCAACGTCCTGTAAAGGTATTGTGTGCTAAACTAACTTTGCTTTTCAAATGTACCAGCGGTCAGAGACGTGATCGTCTGCGCCAGTCGTAAAGGTGCTAGATGATGACTTAGATAAGTGCAAAAAGTCCAGGCTACTTGATGCGTGAAACAAAAGTTTCTGTAGATTAACGGCTAACAGCGGTCACCATTGGTATTGCAAGACCCAGGCGTGGTCAGCCGCTGAGCTGACGGTTAACCCGTGTCCAGTCAGTGCCTTTTCGTCGTTGTGTGGTCATTATCTCTAATTATGGGTATATTTTTTTTTGTTGGAGAGTTTAGACGTTTCATTAGGATTTCGTGTAGAGTGTATTTAGTAGAGACAAGACGGCGAGAGCCCAACACTTTATCCGCCGCCGTTGAGAGGGAAATACTCGCTAGTGTTCTGACTCGCGACTGTGTGTAGGGGGAACTCAGTAAATGGAGTCTCTTTTAAACAAACGCTAGTGTCCCCAAACAAAGTAGGTTACGTTCCATTGATAAGTTTTTTTGGGACTGGTCTGTTGTTTGCTTTTTGGATTGTCTTGCATTTACGCTTTTATTCCGAGAAAGAGAATGCATGAAACATAGGTTTTATCATTCTCTAAGGGGTTTTGTGTTAGATCAAGTTTGTCGATTTTTTTAAAGTGTTAAAATCGCTGGCATTCTGAAATATACAGCATGCAATATCAACGGCATTGCGGAAGGCCACGTGGCTCAATGTTGACCAATCAAAAGTGAGCTAGGTGAAAGGTCGACCAATCAGAAGTGAGCTAGTGTGTTACACTGTGTAAAGAGGGAGAGCAACGTTACTATTACTGGAGTCTCTAGTCAGTTCGCGGTTCCAACTCTCGACTGTGTGTCGAGGAGACTTGATCTGCCAGGGACGGAGTCTCTAGTCTGTTACTGTGTAAATGGCAAGTTGCTGTAGGTTATTAGTGACCCAAAGTGTGGACACATAACCGAGGCGTTTATTAAAGGCTACTGGTGACCACAGGAGTGGGATCATAGGCCGAAAGTTTTTTTGTTGTAGACTCTCGTCAAGTCGAGGCTAGGTGTCGCCGTTTGAGGTGATGCCGCCGTGGAACTGGGTATCTGGGAGTATTATACGGACATTAGTTCTGTAATCACCAATTTATCTTCATCGTCATAATGTGCTCGCTCACAATAAAGAGACTGATGTACTGTTATAGAGTTGACTTGTAATGTGATGTTGTTGACATTGTTATCAGTGTTGGTGGAATGATGTGACTAACTGTAACTGTGTTTACTAAGCACTCTCCGGTTGGGACCTCAATTGTTTTCACCTTTCCGTCTTTCCAGACGATAGTATTGTGCTATAAGGAGGTGTGGAAATCTATGGCTGTGCTGAATGTAGCTTGCACGGAAAGCCTAGCACACGTATAATGGTGACCAGTTGCGACCAGTGACCAGGGAACTCAATTAATCGTCGGATAGTCGATTTGGGAGCTTTCGTATATGTATAGGTGAAGCATAAACATTCACCCTAGACACTTTGTCAGATATGCGGTCCATACACACCCAGACCGCATAAATCAAAAAGATACGCAAACAAACTTTATGCCAAACTGGTTTTATAGAGGGATGATGAGAACACTATGGGCCGACAAAAAGAGCCTAGAAAGAAACTGGATTTGCTACATCAGAAGGAGGCAATGATCATTCTTGGTCTTGTCATGAGAGGAAAAAAACTTGACTAAATGGTGACACTGGGAAAGCTCGAGAAGAAAAAAGAGACGGCTGGAGCGAGGGAGAAGAAACTATACAGTTTGACATCATGGTATAGATATTTATCTGTGTACACGAGACAGAAGGTTGTGGACTGACATGACTACCTACGCCAGAAAGTATGTGAGATCATCTGTGACAGAAATGATCGAAATTACACTCGAGAAAAGCGGCCAACTCAACTCTTTGTCCCAAGGAGCGCATCATACGTTCATAGGTTCCTACCTAGAAGCCCACTAAACGCAAGGTGAGTCGATTTTACGTCACTCTTTATTGCCCCTTGGGCCTGGGATGCTAAAACCTCTGGGACTCAAAAGAGTTAGCCATCTGAGACAGTGAGAAATGATACTGTTAAAAAACACCGTGGGAACAACACCTTGCACAAAATTCATTGAGAAGCCGAAAATCAAATGGTTCGGTCATCTCATTTTAAGGCAGGCACAACAACTACCAACACAGGCGTTACATCTCAAAAGAACTGGCATGGAAGCAAAAGGTAGCCCAAGAAAAATATGGACCGATGGCATTAAATACAATATACATATATGAGTACAATATCTAGTGCTAGCTATCAAGCGATGTATCGCAAACTGTTCCTTATTCACTCTAAACGATAAAAGTGAAAACCGAAGACGATGATGATGATTATAACGATGATGACGATGACATCAACAATTCTGATAATAATGACGACAATGCTGATGATGATGATGACGACGACAACGATGACGAAGATGATGATAATGATGACGACAACGACGACAAGGCTGATGATGATGATGATGATGATGATGATGATGATGACGACAACGACGATGACGAAGATGATGATGATCATGATGAATATGCGTGATTTAGTTTAGTTCATGAAGTGCGATCATACACACCCACACTAGACTACCGTTTACATCGCAATCGTTTTCTGGTGCCTCATTATCACTGTGTTCTATGGCTGTGTCGGCTCTGTGGCTAAGTCGATGCGAACGCTTCGTAATGCTGGGATGCCGGGTTCGATCCCAGCTGCAGGCCACGTGCCTTGCGTTGGTTTTCTACAGTGGTATCAAGAAAGCCGACCGTACAGAAAGCAATGCCAAACTACTAGACGTAAAATTGTTTAGAAAAACCACACAACAGCCAGGGGATGTTGGGGTTGGTTCTGCAACGTCTTGTAAAGGATACGCAACTAACCTTTCTTTCTATTGCTGTACGGTTCTTCTGCTTCTTTTCTGCGTTCGACATCAGTTATGCTAAACATTGAGTCCCGTCTGGGTCAAAAATTGGAATGTGCGTTTAAGGTCGCCACCTGTTCCCCCATAGCTTCTCTCGCAATGTGGATCCCCTGGGCCAGATCCACAGTCTTTGCTATACGGTTAAAGGGTTCTTGAATTTTGTACCTGTTTGGACTATTATCATCGAGATGTTAATCGTATAGACGGAAATCCTGTGAAAAGGGTTGGAGGGGGCCGTAAAAAAACTTCCCCCCCCCCCCCACCCCCCCACCCACTTTTTTGTTTTTTTTTTTTTTTTGTATATAAAATATTTGTTTTGTTAGCTCTTTCATCCACAAGCAACTCCTGGCCCGTGAGTGTCTCTATCTTGATTTCCCTCCATAGTACAATGTGCTTTCTAGATTTTAACATTTGGTCAAAACATACAAAAGAAATCTGACCTCCCATATTGTTCACTATAAATGTGTATATTACCATTCTGAAAGTAATATTTTCATCTTGATTATTTCTTTTCTTTGATATCTCCCGTGAACTCTATTGGTACTGAAAAAGTTATTACTGTAAGAGTTTTTTCTTTTCTTGGTTCATAATACTTATAGATGTGACTCGTGGACAGAAAAATGAACACAGGCGGGTGATATCTGCGGCTGTGAACCCCAAGAAATCGGAATGCTACAGAAGATGAAGAAGTCAGGTATCAAATATGTCCACTTACTGACCTACATTTACTTGACACACAAAGTAAGCACCGTCGTCCTTGTCATAGTCCTTCCATCCATCTTTGGTTATGATGACAGCACGTTTACCAGAATCAGATCTGTGGGGATTGTCAGCCCATCCCGTGTAGCTTACCGGGACCTAAGGAACAAGATAAAACAATGACAAACTTGCTTGTTTTAGTGATGCTGTTCAATCTTTGCATTGCTATGGCCATCCTCCTTTTAATTTATGTCGAACAGTCTCCATTGTTGTTTATTATAGAACTTTGAATAACTAGGCTCTATCATAAACAACAGTGGATACTGTTCGACAGAAATTAAAAGGAGGATGGCCATAGCAATGCAAAGATTGAACAGCCTTAAAAGTCTATGGTTAAGCACCAGCAAGGAGATAAAAATTAGAATTTTGAAAGCATGCATCTTCCCTGTGGCTACATACGGATGTGAGTCGTGGACTATCTCTCAGTCCTTAAGAAAGAGAATATGGGCTTTTGAGCTGAAATGCTATAGAAAGATTCTCAGAATTTCTTGGACAAAGAAGATGAGAAATACTGACATCTTAAAAGATCTAAACATCAGGGAAGATTGGCTAATAAACACTTTCTCCTTCCTTTCTCGAAAGCTGAAATATTTTGGTCATATGAAGCACTACGACGGATTTAAAAAAATTTATAGCAGAAGGCATGGTACCAGGAAAAAGGGGCAGGGACCGACCGACACGAAGATGGGCACAGGATATAAGACTCAGTGTGAAAGTTCATGAGGCGGGAGAGCTGGCGAGAGACCGAGTTTCTTTCAGGCAGACCGTGATGAGAGAGACGTTCTGCAAAGGACCTGCTACATGATGATGAGTGATGTATACTGCGATAAAAATTGTGGACACGCGCAGGGCCAGATTTAAATATAATACAAATAAACTACAGCCTGCGACATCACATGGACCGCACAAAGAACCTTTTTTTTTTTTTTAATGCAATTTTCCTGTAATGTATTTCAACTGTCCTTAGCTTTAGAGGAAAGATAAAGAAAAAACAGGAATAAAAGTGAAAGGATAGAACATAAACAATTTACGTTATGCAGCCGATACAGTTTTGATAGCTAAAAATGAAAGTAATTTACAACTGCTGTATATTGTAGGGATGGAGAATACAAAGAAAGGATTTTTCTTGAATAATAATGTACTATTAGCGAAAGGGCTAAGTACCAAAATGAATAAAGAATTAAAGTTCCTTAGGATGGGACTAGAAATATAAATATTCTATCCCAGACATTAGATCTTTTGTATACATTCTACATAGCAGTGACAGTAAAACAAGACACCAATAAATACCAGTCCTAACTCTAATCAAACAACTAGAACTATAATTATCCCATTAAACATCTGTTTATTTTGCTGAACTGAACACAAATTACCGTACACTTCACAGATAATACATTAAACACAACAAACGTGCTCGACCAGAATCTGAAGTGCCAATTATTTCCCGCTAGGAAGGAAATATGATAATGAACCCAAACGCTCAGAAAATTACCTTAACAATGACAAAAACATACACATATTAACAAGTACGTTAAGCTTCAATATGCCACCAGACCAGAAAATCACTTATAGCGACCTGCAATCAAACTATCTCCGAGCGAGGATACACACTGATATATTTACCCACACAGTTAAACTACTAGAGACAAATTTAGATTTAACTATGGAAACACACCACCGCCACGAAATCTTCTACGCAACCGGCCATCCCCCGCAGTCGCCCGTACCCACGCTGTTTAGCCCAATGTGCGGAGCCACAACAGCTGGGAAGGTCTTCTGGGCGACCGCATGTTCAGTACGAAAGCCAAAATGAGACCGGTTTTGAGGGCGTTGCCTTTTTATACACAGTGCCCAGGCTTCTTCTCATTTGCAAATCATACTAAATCAAGAGATTCGTCGTCAGACCTCTACATTAGGATAACGGAATTAATGGTTGAATCAAAGAAGAAGATAACACCACATTGTGATTTCTCAATTAAACGGAAAGGCTTAACCAAGTCAGTAAATTCAAATATCCAGGAATAATCATATCATCAATTAGAAAATGTGTGATCAAGATTAAAAGCAGAAAAGGTCAAGCAAAGGCAGCACTTCATAAAATGAAAAATATCTTATGGAAAAAGTCGCTCAGATTAAATCTCAGAAAGAGAGTGCTAAAATGTTACATAGAACCTGTTCTGTTGTGTATGGCAGAGAATCTTGGAATGTCAGTGAACAAATTAGAAATAATTTAGAAGCAATAGATATGTGGTTTCTGCTACGAATGTTACGAATACCTTGGACGACCAGAGTAACTAACAACAATTGCTAGAAAGAAGCTAATGAAAGTAGATCTCTAAATACAACAATAAGAAAGAGACAAACGCTGTTCTTTGGCCACGTAATAAGAAGTGAGACATTGTAGAACATCGTGACAACCGGAAAGATCAGTGAAAAAAGGAGTAAAGGCAGACCAAGAGAGATAATGTTGCATAGACTAAAGCGATGGCATGGAGGGATTTCATCAAGAGAGCTGTTCTAGGCAACCAGGAATCGTTATCTGTGGAGTTGCATAAATCTCAGCCAAAGGTAGGGCACATGATGATGTAATGAATAGAACCTTACATTGTGTAATGTTGTTAAAATTTTTTTGGGTCTTAGTCTAAGTCTTAGTCGAGGTTTCAACCTATTGCAATCGGGTTTTCCCAAACTTGCTCCATTTATGTGCCTGTATCTATATTAATAAAAATTTTAATTTTCCAGTTGTAACTAAAACTCGGAAACTACTGAACCGATTGCTAATGGAAATTTTCACACAACAACTCTGACTCAAAGCGTGATTTTTTGTCAGAAAATCGCACAAACTACGATCAACGTAGCTCCAGCAACAGTCAAATCATTATTTGTTTCGTTGCCTGTCCTGATTTATTTTTAATCAATTGGCCACCTTTGACTGTGTAACACCGAACTTCTGATTATTATTATATACTTTCATTTCTACTAACTGCTTGTGTATTTGATAGCGTAGTTGTAAGCATTTCGCTTTTTACTCATGTAATAGGCGTTCGATTCCCCGCTGGGGGATATAATTTTTTTTGGGGCCCCTACCTGTTAGCTGAGAGAGCTTAAATTATTATTTTCAAATTCTAATTTCTTAACTATTTCTAAAATACTGTCGCCATATGATTTGTTCAACGTTAGAGAGGGAGACATGACTGGGTGGAGGGGAGAGGAAAGGGGCGTGGGGGTTATGACAGACACTGTTAGCTGAGAGCTACTTTCTTTCTTTTCGATTTCACCATTCGGGACCACAGCAACGTGTGGCAGGGCACACGTAGTAACATATATAGTTTTTCTCTCCACCCGTCGCCAAGCTAATCAGTACCCCTAATTTTCATTTTTCTACAATGTAACCCCTGAAACCACACCCGTTGTGCCTGCCCCAGCTTACTGCCGCCCATGAAACTCCCGGATCTTCTGTTCTGTCTGCCCCATCATGCACATAAAGATCCACACCATGCCGCCAGATGACTTCAAACCACTGAAGCCTCACTTTGAATCCGTAGCTGACCAATTACTGAGTCTCATCGTAGCGCCAGGTGACCTACATAAAACACGCCACAAAAGCCAAATCGGGAGCAGTTGCGGTTCTCGCTCGGGAGGCGTAAATACTTTTTTTCTTGTAAAGTAAAGTAAAGATCCCTTTCCACGCCTTTAGGTATATCGGGCACATGGGAAGAGCACCCATATTTTTACAGACCATCAGCACTCGGTGGGAAATGTGGTCATCATTACGCTGGCTGTCTTTACTTTCCCAGGACAGCCATCCTGGTACCCATTTTAGGCTGGGTCGACCTGCGACGCCCCGTGCCATGAAAAAAAAATCAGCTAGCAGTTGCTGCTGGCTAAGGATTACAAGTCGGACTCGCGTCCCATATTTTACAGATGAATCGGTGTCCGATTTTTTTTTAGTTTCAAGTCATGTGGTCAGCATTACGCCGGCTTTCTTTACTTTTTTTCTAAATATTGAGCCGCGGATTATTATTTTTTTTTTTTTTAATTATTCTTTATTCTGAGTCACAGTTAGCAAAGGTTAGAGGGGGAAAGAGGGCACAAAACAACACCTGTAAAACTCAACTATATTACTCACGGGGTTGGGGAGCTAACAAAGACCGAGTTTTATTTTCAAGCAGACAGCGATGAGAGTGGTGTTCTGGGAAAAAAAAATACTGCTATAGTAGCGGTTCCCAACCTGTGGGTCGCGACCTCGTTGGGGGTCGAACGACCGTTTCACAGGGGTCGCCTGAGACCATCAGAAAACATACATTCACTAAGTTATGAAGTAGTAACAAAATTAATTTATGGTTAGGGGTTCACCACACCACGAGGAACTGTATTAAAGGGTTGCTGCGTTAGGAAGGTTGAGAACCACTATCATAGACGGTGCGCCTTAAGACGTGGATAGGTCCTTTGTTTACCTATGTATAACTAACCATATAATAAAACATTGATGATGTGTTGAATTACAAGTTTACCTTATCATTAGGGCCCCAAAAATACTCGCCATTCCGTGTTCGATCCTGGAGCCCAATGAGAGCTCTGTCAACATCATCTTCATCAAGCAGACCTAGATGAAGATATACACAATGACGTAACATGATAGTACTGTGTATAGAAATATATTTATAAACAAGAATCTTATTACGTTTACTCACAGTCGTCATTACAGCACAGAGGCTCTCAACCTTCCTTATCCCGCGACCCTTTAATACAGTTCCCTATGTTGTCGTGACCCCAGTCATAACATTATTTTTGTGGCTTCTTCATTACTTCAAAGAATATGTGTTTTCCGATGGTCTTAGACGACCCCTGTGAAAGGGTCCTTCGACCCTCAGCGGAGTCTCGGCCCACAGGAGGAGAACCGCTGGTCTAAAGGGATATATTTATAAACAACAATCTCGTTACATTTAGTCACGGTGGTTGTCACGTAGCAGGTCCCTTGCAGACTGTCACTCTCTTCACTGGCTGTTTAAAAAAACACTAGGTCTCTCGCCAGCTCTTCAGCCTCGTCGACCTTCATATCCAAGGAGTCGCATGTATATCCTGTGCCCATCTTCGCTTTGGTCAGCCCCTGCCCCTCCTTCCTGGTACCATGCCATCTGCTTTTTTGTGTGTGTGTGTTTAATCCACCATGATATGGCCACAATATTTCAACTTCTGAGACAAGTTGCTGTTTATTAGCCAATCTTCCGTTATGTTAAGATCTTTCAGAATATCAGTATTTATCTTCTTCTTTGTCCATTGTACTCTGCAAATCTTTGTATAGTATTTCAGCTCAGAATCCCCTTGTTCTACCTTAAGACGGACTGGAAGATAGTCCACGAAACACATCTGTGTGTTGCTAAAGGGGATTTGCATGCTCTCAAAATGTAGACCTTGATTTTCTTGCAGGTGCGTAACCAAAGACTTTTCATGCAGTCTAATTTAGTTACAGTATGTATCTTCTTCTTTTTCTTCGCTTCCACCATGTACCTCTCGAAGTGTCGGGGGGAGATGTAATGTTCGTTGATGAGCTCTGTCAAGAGTACTATTAAAACACAGTATGTATGTGACGTTACAAGAAAGCAATATACGACACAAGACAAATACACGACCGCTTGTCCGATTCGACAATGGCGTCCAAACAGTCCTTGCATACTTTTTTAAACTACTTTTTTTTTTTTGTGGTGGGGGGGGGGGGGGGGGGGGGGGTCGAAATTGATCCAGTATACTGTGAATAAAAAGCTTCTCAAAAAAAAAAAAAGTGGGGTGTGGGGTGGGCAAGGTACATACACAAGACATATTTGGAAGTTTCTGTCGGAGCCTCTCAAGACATAAACCACGAACCCCCGTGTAGGTTCCGGGGCCCCATTGTGGGGAAAACAAGAATAGACCCACTGCCTCCCCAAAAGCATGTCGTAAGAGTCGACTAATTGGGGAGCTTCCTTTGAAGTCGGAGTGCATCTGCCAAGGAACCAAACACTGTATCAAGAGAATGAGATCTGTAAAACTGATGCACACGCAACACTCAGGTTCTGGAGCAGGACTACAGTTCAGTAATGAACGAGCGACCAGAACTTTCCGCCAGAGTCTACAGCTGGTGAACGCAAAGAAGAAGAAAAAGATAAACCACGAAGAAGCAACAAGGGGCAGAGTATCCTGGTCACATGTTAGTACACAGGGGCTCACGTTAATAACTAACTATAAAATAAAGGAAGAGGAAAAGGGGGTGTGGAACGAAAAATATAAACGAAGGAGCGAAAATAATAACAACAATAATAGTTATAACAAAACAGGAGCAATCTTCCTATTAGTTGTGGAAATAAAAGTAACAATAACGGGAATGGTGATAACAATAGTAGGAATAAAAATACTAATGATCTAAAAATAGTAATAAAACAAATAGAATAAAATAGCTTCTTGGTACAGTGTTAGGTTGATTGTAGTCACCAATGCCCACTATTTTCTTTGAGCACCGCTTTGTCAAACAATAGCAGTTTACACCGTGTCTCTGGTACGACTTTTCATTTGTACAGGGATCTTTTACTTTTCCTATTTTAATATCATGTTGGTCAAGACCTGCCTCTTCTTCCAGAAACTGTGCCGTTTTGTTGTTGGAAGCTCTGGACATCTGATTCTAACATTCCCTCCTGCAAGCCGAAGTTTGAAGTCGCGTATTTGTATTGCCTATTGCATTTGTTTTTACAACCGGCAATTCAGATTTTTGACATAGTCCCAAGCACCCACTGAAGTACATACGCTGTGGCGGATCAACATCTTACTGAATGGCTGCTGCCTAGCTTGAGACGAGAGGCAGCTGATCAGTTTTCGTTCTTTGTTTTGTCCTACTGCTTATGCAGTAAAGCGACGCAGAGAGGAGTTAATGTGTAGTTTAGCTACTGGAAAATGTTTCCTTCCGTTAGAAAGGCCGCCCGTGGCGCCCTCGTCTACACCAACTGACAAAGACGTATAAGCTGTAACTGCTGCCTCTCGATTTGTTTCCGAGACAAATTAGGGCTAGAGTTGAAGTTCCTTCTCTCGTTATCATTTTTTCTTCTTCTTCTTTTTGTTCACTGGTTGTTAACCCTAGCGGAGTTTTCTGGTTGTTCGTCCATTTCTGGACACTAGCTCTCTTCCAGAAACTGAGTGTTGCTCTATGTGGTGCCCGTGTATCGTGATTCCTCACTGGACCTACCTTGCTTACTCCAAACTAAATGATGTAAACGATACATCCTATTTCAACTTCAGCTAAGTCTCTGTTACGTTCTGTATGACTAAATTACTTATGTTTCTGACATACAGTGTTGTTTCTAACCCATATTTCTTCCATGTTGAGATTTCGTGGAGTCAGTATATTGTTCGAAGAGCAACTGGCCTAACTGTTAAGAACGCAGGGCTCTCATTCAAGAAAACAGGGTTCGAATCCTGGGCAAGGTTGGGAATTTTTTTTTTTTCTGTCGGGGGACAAACATTAAATCTTTACCTCTACAGTGTGACAGTATTTGCTATAAAGCCTAAAATCTTCAGACTCAAACACCTCTCAGCTTTCACCGCAAAAAAAAATTTTGCAATACATGCAGTTTGCAGTTGTACAAAATACTCTAAGAATTGATGTGTGGCATTTACATTCTAAATCTCAACTTTATTCATTAGCTCTACTTAAATAGTAATGGATGTGCAGACAAGCAAACATCAGATACTCAAATAAGCGCTAGTTAATCTTGTATCTCGGCAATAAAGATAATCTGAAGCTTGAGTTTTTGTTATACTTGGAGACGACCACTCAGACATGGGCTGCTCTTACACTCGTAGACGGACAAGTGGAGTTGAATGACTACAAGTGAATCATGTCTTAACATACTGAAGGGTAATCAAATTTGGCATGACATACTTTATAGAATATGCGTGTGGTGGGGATGGGGTGGGGGTGGAGCTGGTCTGGATTCTTTCCATGATATCCAGAGGATTACACAGGAAAGAACGGAATGGAGGACAAGACTGTCAGCCTTATGTGCCGCATAACGTCACAGCTCAGTAATGATAATGTTGTTGATGATGATGATAGCGAAGAAAAAAGAAAGAAACAAAAGAGAAAGAAAGAAAGAAAGAAAGAAAGAAAGAAAGAAAGAAAGAAAGAAAGAAAGAAAGAAAGAAAGAAAGAAAGAAAGAAAGAAAGAAAGAAAGAAAGAAAGAAAGAAAGAAAGAAAGAAAGAAAGAAAGAAAGAAAGAAAGAAAGAAAGAAAGAAAGAAAGAAAGAAAGAAAGAAAGAAAGAAAGAAAGAAAGAAAGAAAGAAAGAAAGAAAGAAAGAAAGAAAGAAAGAAAGAAAGAAAGAAACAAAGAAAGAAACAAAGAAACAAAGAAAGAAGAGGAGAAGGAGGATTTGACAGAAAATACCTTTAACAAACTTATCCGTGGCTTCATCAAATATAAACACAAGATGGCCTCCATTTGTTTTTTCGCAGTGATTTTTGGCATCAAGGTACCGGTACTCCATTTTTTCGAGCTTCATACAGGTGCCGGTCAGATTGTGGAACTTCCATCCCGTGCTACAGAACTGACTTCTTGCAACTACGAGGAGAAGCATGTAAAACTGTGTTAGAAAACATTACACTGACCACACACACACACACACAACCACACACACACACACAACCACACACACACACACACACATACACACACAACATAAACAGATATTCATATAATCACAGACAAAAACCTATTCACGCAGATAAAATCTTCTTCAGCGACCGAGTTGTGCATTGGCTGGCCGGTAGACGACTTCGTCGTCGTTCATGACAGTATTTGGGTCTGTCTTCTTTGATTGCAGCAATAATGCAGATGTCATTTTCAGGGCTCTTGATGGCGTGAAATGCTAAGCCATTTTATAGTGCGCACATGACATAGTCACAATTATAACCTAAAGCTAACCCTTTGGGGATGCTGGATGAACGTGAAGAACACCCCACCACACCCCCCCTCCCCACCCTTTCCTTCAGCAAAGCACTCTTCCACACAGATACCACACATACATACAGACCCAACACATTTACACAGACAAACAACACACACTTCAGCAGCCGCCGCAGAGTTCCAATACTAATGGTACCGGTCGTAATAAGGTTAGATGTCCGTCTTGCCTTTCCTCTGAGTGTAGTGAACCAGCTAGACCCTCAGGTCACACCCAGATGCATCATTCTCCCCAGGCCATATGTTCCTTAATTCCTCGCTACCGTTGGCGCCTGTGGCAAAGGCGTTGAGAAGGCGGTTAATTATGCCGGGGTACCCTGTTCGATACCAGCTGCGGGTGATTTGACAGCAGGCCGCTTTGCACTGTTTCAAAAGTATTATCTAGTTATGACTGTAAGGAGTAATGGCGTTTCTACTGAACTTAAAATGGTCTTGTAAAATCACGAACAGCCAAAGAAATACTGGGGTTAGTTCTGGACCGCAATGAAACGGATATGCCACTAACTTTTTAACTTTTAGTGTGAAGACGGTGTTATATTAATTTATTCTGTTCTGAGACCGCATTATTGTCACTTAAGGTTTTAAAAAAGATGCCTGTAGCGGTCACAAAGTGTCACTACAGAAGCACTGGAAAAAAATATGGTTTAACAAATGTGCGATACTACATACCGTTCCGTACCACTAGAAGAAAGTCTTGCTTTTTACTTCTTCTCCCCGTATGGGTTCCGGAGATCGATTATGGAGAAAAAAGAACAGTCTTTCTGCCCCTAACAAGCATGTCGTAGGAGGCTACTAATTAGGAGTGTTTCCTTCAACATGGGAGTGCAAATGTATGAGAGGCAAGTAACCAACAGTATGCACACAACTAAGCTAGATCTGTAAAATGTATGTGCATGTAAAACTAAAGTTCTGGATCAAGACTACGCCCAGAAGTGGACGAACAATCAAAACTTTTCACCGCAGTTAACACCCGGTGAAAGCTGAGAAGGAGAAGAAAACTAATCAAGAAGTCTGTATAGTTAAAAGTAAAGCCTTACTGGGCAGGATGAGATCAAGAAAGAATTGTGTCAGAGTTGGTTTGTGTAACTTTTTCTTTTTCGCATTCACCAGCTGTAAACTCCAGCCGAAAGTTCTGGTTGTTCTTCCACCTCTGGACTTTAGTCTTGTTTCAAAACCTGAGTTTTTTCCGCCTCTCTCTCTCTTTCTCTCTCTCTTCTCTCTCTCTCTCTCTCTCTCTCTCTCTCTCTCTCTCTCTCTCTCTCTCTCTCTTCCACCCGTCCAGTCCAGTCCTCGTTTTTCGTGGTTTCAAGCTGTTCGATAAACATGCAATGAAGACATCTTTTTAAAGGGGGTACCTTGTTGGTTATGTTCTTAGTACGCTTGTTTCCATAGCGAGGCTCACACGCCATTTGTAGGTGATAGGTTCGATTCCCGGCACGGTAACATTAGCTTTTAATTTTTATGTTTTCGAGTGTACCCTTCTATCTTTCTACTTCTTTTTATGAGTGCCGATAAATGCATTGTCTGTTTGATAATTATATATATATAAAATATGTCCACGACTTTAAGGGTTCCCCCTCTGTTTATGTACATGAAATTCATAGTTTTTCAGTTGTCGTCATGTTTAAAATGTATTTCTCATTCTAGCATGTTCAGAAAATCTGAACTGTCTCATTTATTGTACGCCCTATTTTCCCTCAGCCAAACGCCAGCGTCTTTATTCGTTTACAGACTACGGACAATAAGTTGTTGAATTATTTATTTCAATTTTAAACTGTATGGAAGTATTTAAATTGAACTGAATACACAACAGTTGCAACAAATGTTCAAGCTGCAAATTAATGAATGATTTATTGTCAAGGCAACACTATATAGTCCATGCATTTACAAAATAAATCATTGCAGTTTATTACACAATATACAAGTATTATATCAAAACCTCCAAAATGAGTGTATATTTCTTTTCTACTAGGAATCCTTTACCGCTTTCAACACATTGCCGCCCCCTGTAGCTGTTAATGATGAAAAAAATTATAGTAATGGCTATGATGATGATAATGATGATGATGATGATGATGATGATGATTACGATGATAATGATGATGATGATGAAAATGATGATTACGATTTAAGTTGTAATTTCTAACCTGCCAACTGCACCGCGACAACTGCACATACCAGTAGCCAGGTTTCAGAAAATAGAGACGCCATCCTTGGATATATCGTGTCATGAAAAAGCTAACAAAACAAAACCACTAATTATAAACCTTCACTCTCTTTCTTAATAGTTGTATGCTGTAGATTTCGAACCTTGCAGACTTTAAAATGTACAAACAATTATTCTGAAATAACAATTCAAAAGTCATGAATTAAAATATTGAAAATGAAATCCAAAGACAAATTTAGGTATATAATTTTATTTTAAAAGGTTAGAGATTACCACTCCAACCTTCCAATGTTCCATGAAGTACAGTCTTTCAATGAAGTCAACAATGAAGTTGTAGCTTTCAGATTTCCTAATTTTACAGATATAGCTTTCAATGATGTCAACTATAAAGTTGTAGCTTTTAGATTATATTACATGAGAGATGTAGCTTTCAGATTCCTCATCAGTACAGATATAGCTTTCAGATTTCTCACCAGTATAGATGTACACATAGGGTAGTTTCGTCGCCAAGCTTCTGAGTTGAGTGCATGGCGTGACACTGTGGGCTGCGTTTGTTTTTCGTTGGCACAGGAGCGGAGCATATGTGGGGTGACCCGTTTGCTATGAAGCTGAAACTAGGATTACCAGATTACCAGATTACCAGATGTACACATAGAACTCAAGTTCCGGAACAGAGCTAGTCCAAAAGTGGATGAACAACCAGATTTTCCCGTAAAAGTTTGCAGCCGGTGAGCGCAAAGAAGAAGAAGAAAGGGAAGAATGCTTTACAGTGTGCATAAAGGTTAACAGTAAAGGTTAGTTGCATATCTTTTACAAATTAAGAAGAACTTGGACCCCACATGAAATGGGGTTTCAGAGACGCATGCTGCCGATACCATGGACAACCAGAGTAACTAACAACTGTCTGAAATGGCTAATAAAATTAGAAAACTATTTACAGCATTAAGAAATAATATGTCAATGTTCTTCTGTCACTGATGAGAAGAGAGCCATTAGAAAGCATCTTGATGACTTGGAAGACCAAAAGGAGAAGAGGCAGGGGCAGACCAATAGAGACGAAGTGTGACGCAATGAAGTGATGGCATGGTGGAATATCATCAATGGATTTGTTTCGCAATATTAGGATGAGATCTGTGTACCAAAAAAATGGGATCAGAAAGTTCAAAGAGAAAGGTGTATGGAAAAGACGAGTATAAATACAACCAAGGATTTCGACCAATGTCTTTATCAGCGTAACACTATACACAACACAGACTGTATCAGTGAAGTACTAACTACGACACAAACTGTTAAAATGTACATCATATTGTAAAGACACAATACCACCCGTCGCTTATATAATACTGTAAACACATTTTTTTTTTTTTGGTGCTAAGGTATACATTATACATGAAAAAATAAACACGAATCTATTTCTAAAATCCACCAAAAAAAAAAAAAAAAAAAACAGAACAAATGAGAACCGAATGTAAACTAAACTTCCAGGAGGGCCTACTAACTCAAAAAAGTGAAGTGATCCTCATGAAGTATAACACAGTTATTTAATTCCGGTGAATACGACTGCACCATGCATCATTTCAGTTGCTCACCACTTCACTTGCAAACACATTCTGTGTCCGGGATTACTCAGTTGTTTAAGTTTGAAACGTTAATCGCCCTATACTGAACGGCCGGTTACTAGGCAGCAGTCGGGAGCACACAAATACGTATATTGTGTGGTTGAGGCGAGTTTTCTGAGATTTGCCTTTAAATTGTGCCTCCTGGGTTGTATTTCCAAAGAAGGCAAATTACAGTTGATTTAGTTAACTACACGTCTGTCTGTCTGTCTGTGTCTGTCTGTCTGTCTGTGTCTGTCTGTGTGTGTGTGTGTGTCTGTCTGTCTGTCCCAACTCCCAACTGCCTCACCGTCTGACTGTCTATTTCTTTGTCTATATATATATATATATATATATATATATATATATATATATATATATATATATATATATTCTTTTATTTATACCTATATAAATATTACACACACACACACACACACACACACACATGCACACATACAGTCACATCTGTTCATGAATCGACTTTTCTATTTTTTTATGCGAGAGCTTGAGGTTTAGTCCTTAATCTACAACTCCTTCTGTTTGCCTTCTTCTTCTTCCCCTTCTTCTTTTTCTTTTTCTTCTTCTTCTTCTTCCAGCCTGTACGGCCCTAGGACCGACCAAGAATAATAAAATAATGTATGCATAATTTCTACTTATCTTGAAAAGAAATTTAGCGGCGAAAGACACAGGCTACCCCACGGACATGCCCGAAACACCTAAAACTTGACATACTCGTAACAGTATCACCAGGAAGCTCCGTCTGTTGACACATCAAACATGAACAGGAAGTTTTCTGGGAGGGGAGAGATTTGTGTGACACCGTAACACTAGTCATACCAATCCTTGCAGGACCACAATGTTAGAACTTATGGTTATTCATACGAAAGTATTTTCTCAAGAGCAGACACAATCATGGCTGGGCTATCCAGACAGAGAAGGAAGTAATTTAATTTTTGTGTTGTGTGTGAAAATGTGTGTGTGTGTGTGTGTGTGAGTGAATAGTGTGTGTTTGTGTGTATGTGTGTGTGTAGACGTGCGGGCGTGTGGGTACGTGCGTGTATGTGTCTGTGTGTGCCTGTCTGTGTCTGTGTGGGTGTGTGTGTGTGTGTGAGAGAGAGAGAGAGAGCTCAAGCGTGTACAAGCGTGCATGCGTGCGTGAGAGAACTGTACAAGTTGGGTGGGAGTTCTGCCTGCTGGCAATACAGATTTCTCAGTGCTCCGTCTGTTCAGCTGTTATTGTTAAATGGTGCTACAGGGACCCATGGCGATGGCGAGTATGACCAGCAACACACGCCGGTGTTGAGAAAACATTTTTCAAAATCGGTCCCTTAAATGCTTTGTTGTTTTTAATAATCTGGTACTTATACCTCCCCCTTACCGTGCCGCCTGATGCGATCGCATGTCTGTATTCTAGCTCGACACGGCCCTTTTTATGACCATTGTTGCCCCACTTCCCTCCGTAACCCAATACATTTTTTTAAAGAGGCTCCCTTTAACCACGTATAGGAATTATCTTTAATAGTATTTGCTTATATATTTCATATTACTTTATATTTACTTTATATTATTAACTGGGCGGCTCCAGGTCGATGCGAACGCTTCGTAATGCCGGGTTCGATCCCAACTGCGGGCCATGCGCCTTGCGTTGGTTTCAACAGTGGTATCGGGAGGGGGGGGGGGCCGACCGTCCAGGGGCAATGGCAAACTAATGGACGTAAATTTGCCTTGAGAAACCACACAACAGCCAAGGACTGCTGGGGCTGGTTCTGCAACGTCCTGCAAATGATACGTAACTAACCTTCATATTAATTAAAACGTGGTTCTTGAGAAGAATGTTGCGAATACCCTGGAACTTCCAGAATAACTACAAATGATTGCCTGGTAATAGCTAATGAAAGTACAACAGTATATACAATAATGAGGAGACAAAGCTCTTTGGTCATGTGATGAGAAAGGGTGTACTGGAAAATATCGTGACGACTGGAAAGATCACTGGTAGAAGAGGCAGAGGCAGACCAAGAGAGCTGATGGTGGATGGCTTAAGACAGTGGCATGAAGGAATATCATCAGTGGAATTGATCCAGAACACCAAAGACTGTTGCTTCGTAACATAAGTGAATATGTGTTTTCCGATGGTCTTTGGCGACCCTGGGAAAGGGTCGTTCGACCTAGAAAATGGTCGCAACCTACAGGTTGAGAATCGCTGCTATAATGGTTATTTATACTCTTACAAAAGGATTAGGGACTTTTGGGGGTGGGGGGGGGGGGGTGCTTTCAACTAATCCGAGCACCAAGGTCGGGGCGCCAATACCTGAGATTGTACCAGGTACCCTCACAAGAAGGGCTCCAATCTGGAGGCTCAGGTACCTTTCCTTTGCTAGACTAAACTCAACAAGATCCTATTTTACTAGCGTTGTGTGTAGACAAACGTTATCGGACGGGACACGGTCACGTGTATCCGGTCTAGGATGTTTACAGGAAGCAGATACACACCATGTTAAGTGCATACTTGACGGGATTCAAGCCATCTTTGTCTAAATCAGTGGTTCTCTACCTTCCTAATCCTGCGACCTTTTAATACAGTTTCCTCTTGTTGTAGCGACCCCCAGACAATTATATTTCTTCGTACATTCAATGGATATGTGTTTTCCAATAGTCTTGGGCGACCCTTGTGAAAGGGTGGCTAGATCCTAAAAAAGGGGTCGCGACGGGCAGGTTAAGAACCGCTGGTCTAGACAAACGTTTGCTAGCATGTCTTTATTGCTGAGACCATTGTTATCTAGACAGGCGTTTGTTACCACGTCTTCGTTAATCAAGTTATACTTATCTTGACAAACATCTGCTATAAGAAGTTACTGACCGACGCTCAACATTCAAGGGAAAAGCGAGATGTTGTTAATGGTGCCAATGGAACTCTTCGCTTGCTGCTGAAGATAGGGACAGAGCGCGCATGGAAGTGTCCCGAGTGCTGTTAAATCGATTCTTAATTCAACATTCAACAAATTGTCTGTTAGCGTTTCTTTGATAGAGGTGATTTAGGCATAGGAGTTTCTGCTGGCTTGCTCTCATTTCTTGGGTGTCGTTCTCCAATTTCTTAGTTACCTCCTCTTTTTGGGTCTGCATGACACTCGTGACAGCCAGTATGTCGCATTTGAACGGTACCAGTTCTGCTTCCCATCGTTTCTGGGCTTCGAGGGACTCCTGCATCATGCTTCCTAGGTCTCTGCTTGCTACCTCGGCTTCCAGCCGAGAGAGTCTCCTGCATCAGGCTTCCTAGGTCTCTGCTTGCTACCTCGGCTTCCAGCCGAGAGTCTCCTACATCAGGCTTCCTAGGTCTCTGCTTGCTACCTCGGCTTCCAGCCGAGAGAGTCTCCTGCATCAGGCTTCCTAGGTCTCTGCTTGCTACCTCGGCTTCCAGCCGAGAGTCTCCTGCATTAGGCTTCTTA